TATTATCATTATTCTTATTCTTCTTATTATTATTACGATTATCATGATTATCATGATTATAAAGATTATTGTTTTGATTATCATGATCTTTATTATTGTCTTTGCTGTTGTTGTTGTTGTTGTTGTTGTTGTTGTTGTTGTTGCTGTTGTTGTTGTTGAATAACTATCAATGTTACCATCATTACTCTTATTCCTTACAGCTCCTGCTTCTAGTTCTCGGAGTCCTGGCCATGAGCTATGAGGGGGCGTGGTCTGCCCGAGTCCATCACACCACGGCCAGCACGGCAGCCCCGCCCCCTGTGGAGGACCGGGTGAAGGAACTTGAGGACGTGCTCTCGGCTTTGACCCGCCAGGTCATGCTGCAACAGTTCTTCGTGGAGGAAAAGTGAGTACATGTCATAGATGTACACTATAGTTTAAAAGGGGGTAACTCTATGGTACATGTACATTATTATAATCTGTCCCGTTGTTTTATGCAGCCCGCATAATTTGGCAAAATTTGATCATTTTTTTCATATTTTCTGATTATTTTTCTTTATCATTCTTTGTTAAAATTAGTAGAATCGCATAATTTCACATTTTTTTGGATCAGTTTGAATAATTTCAGAATTTTTCTTGCATAAGACGACGGGGACAGATTATTTGACTTGGTGTCTTTGTGTGTGTGCTTGTTTTTGTGGTTACTTTGTTTGTCAGATTGGGGGGGGGGGTTCTTTTGGAAAAAGGGAGGGGTTGCCCTATCCGTAGGCCCTGGGGTCATTTTGTACCCCTCGGGTTGTATTCTTCACAGTTTTAGAATACTTCTAGACTAGTAAGAAGATATCTTTGAAACTTTCAGTATTTCTCAAAAAATCATTGTGACAGACAGCTATGCAAAGGGTACGGATCGGGTTAGCTAGTAAATTTTCTCTTTGGAAAGTGGTGGCACAGCGTTCCCCACGTCGTATGGATACGATAATAAAACACGACGTATGGACAGGGTTAAGTTTGTTGTTGCTGTTCGTGGTGGTGGTGGTGGTGGTGATGTTGTTGTTGTTGTTCCACTGGTTCTGGTTATAATATTATCCTAGGCAGGTATGTGCATATTGTCCTTTTTTGTTGTTGTTTGTCTGTTTGATTGCTCAACGGACCTTCATTATGATATTATCCTAGACAGGAATGTACATCTTTTGGGCTTTTAGTATGTCTGTTTATTAGTTCCACGGGCTCGGATCATGATTATATTAGACAGGGCACCACCATGGCGGCAATTTTTTTTCTCTATTTTAAAAAAACCTCACTGAGGAACATGACGCAATGGGGATCAAATTAATAATAATAATGAAGATCATTTCTATAGCGCCCACTCCCGTGTAAACACAGCTCTAGACGCTTTACATAAATGCATGTACGAACAGCATTCATGCATGCGACACACACACACACATACACACACACAAACACCCGCATACACACTCACGAACACATAACACGCACACATGTGCACACACATGTATGCCAAACACACGCACACACACACACACACACACACACACATACACCCACACACACTCACACACCCACACACACACACACTCACACACACACACATTCACACACCCACACACACTCACACATCTTAAGAAACAACTCCGCCCCCCCCCTTCAACACA